ATGCTCTTTGAAGAAGGCTTCCTCATTTTTTAGTGCTTCAGAAAGTGAAACCTTCTCTGTGATCTCCTTCTGACCCCTGCATTTGACCACCATGTAGCCCTTCTTCAGCGGGATGACTTCATTATGGACAATTTTAACCACGTTCTCTTCTGTGCCTTTGTCCACCAGGTCAGGTTTAGTCAAGATACCTGACAGAGAGAGATAGTGTTGGATTCCCCACCTTATCAGAAGACTGATAAGTTGTATTGATCACTGCAAGCTCCAGTCAGAGCTTGGTGCCAGTCATCAAATGTTGCCAACGTTGTTTGCTCAGCAGGAAAGGGATCTTTAACATGATCACAGATGTTTGCAGAAGAAATCCAGTGGATGTCAGAAATGTTTTGGAGACATATAAATGCAGCGTTTCACATTACTGGACATGTTTGTCTGGCAGTGATTGCTTGTACCCAGTCAGTTAAAATCCACAGGAATGCACTGTTTATTTAACAGTTCCTTCTTTCATTTTACTGTCAGTTGACATGTTACCTTTAAATGGTTTATATATAGCTGTCGCTCCATTCATTTATGCTTTTATCTTTAATAGTAATTCAGATGTACATGTTAAAACACTGCCTCAGATATCATTTTGCAGTGATTAAAGTAAGTGGATCCAACAGGTTTTTAACAAATTGGTCAAAAGTTTTAGAACACCCCCATTTTCCCAGGTATTTTTTGCAATTCAAGTAGTTCAGGTCCGATGAATGGTTAGAAAGGCCAGAGGTAAAAAAAAATAATAAAAAAGAGTAAGGTTAGCCAAAAAGGAAAAAAAGTACATTTCAGAATTATACAAAAAGGTCTTTTTTAGGGAACACAAAATGGTTTAACAATTTAAAGCTGTTCTGCAGCAATGGAAGTTGATCAAGCCTTGAAAGCTACTAATTCCTACATGTGTTCCAACTTTTCTGGATTACCTACAACCCCCTCTGTCTGCATAAAAGCAGTGTTGGAGCATGTCAAGGTGTCAGTGATTCCAGTTTCCTTCACCATCAAAAGGCACTCTGAAACTGGGGCAAACTCTGATAGGAAGAGGTCTGGCAGACCCAAAGCCAACTGAATTTGAGGACAGGTTTCTGAGAGTTAATAGCTTGTGTAACTTTGCTAAGACATCAGAATAAGACAAAGAGGCTTGCCTGGGCCATGAAACACCACCATTGGACTACTGTAGACAGGAAGATGGTATTATAGATTGATGAATCAAAATTTGAAATCTGTTGCTCATCACGCAGGATCCTTGTACACCGTCAAGTAGGTGAAAGGATGGTTCCACAGTGTGTGGCATCACCTGCCAAACATGGAGGAGGAAGTGTGACGGTCTGGGGCTGTTTTGATGGATCCAGGGTCGGTGACTTGTACAGACTGAGAGGCACCCTGAACTAAAACAGCTACCTTAGCATTCTTCAGTACCATGCAATACCCTTTTGTATGTGTCCAGTTGGTCAGGGGTTCATCCTACAGCAAGATCATGACCCAAAACATAAGTCCAAACTATGCCATAACTACCTCAGGAAAAGAACTTTGATGAGTCAACGGTTTAGAATAAATGATTGTCTATAAATTTATGCCATGATTTCTTCTCCAATTGCATATTTGGACTTAGTTTTAATTTCAGGGTGCAATGAGACATTAAACTGCATAATTTTAATAAATATTTTTCATAATTATAAATTGGAAAAAGTGGGGTGTCCTAAAACTTTTGACCGGTAATGTAGGTTCAAGATTAGGACCACAAAATCTTCATGCAAATCAGAGATGGTCAAACAGAAGGCCTGTATTGACTAAAGATGGAATGACCAATAGAAAAAACATGTATTTCCTTCTGAAAGTCTCTCTCAATAAGTTGCTGTCCTGTTTTTAACTTGTTCCTCTTGAATATTAGTGTACCTGAGTCAAATTTGGAGGCTCAGTTTTTATACCTGCTTTTTCTTTTCTGCCCAAATTTTCTATTGAATTACCAACAGGGCTTTGCCATGACCACTACAACTTGTACTAAAGTGATTTGGCCACAACTTTGGAAATGTGCATGGGGTGATTGCCTGTGTGGAAGAGCAATCTGTGGCCCTTCTCCAACTTCCAGGCTGATGTGTTACATTTGTAGTTCACTGCATCCATATGATGTTAATCACTTGGCAGCAGAAACAGAATCCAAAGTAAAGAAACTAAATGACTTAAGAGAGACACTTGCTTACCCAAAGTCCTCTCTCCATCAGGATCCACCAGCTTAGCCATATTCAAAGCCTCTGTAGTTGCAATGTCCACGTTGCATGGAACAACCACCAGGTTGATAGTTTCTTGTTTACTGATGACAGTCTGGATCATAGTTTTAATCTGAAAGTATCCATTCAAAATAAAGTATAAAGATTAAAAATATTGTTTCATAAATTGCATAAATGCAGTTATGAACAATACAACCAAATAACTGATGTAAGCAGGAATGTCCAGATAAAGTAGCAAACTCATAACAATAAATACATATAATACCAAAAACCAGCAGTCACACTGGTGTGTCAGTGTTGTCCCTTTTTAACACTAACATGCCAATGCCTATCAAACTCTGGGTTTGTGCTTCACTGGATGAAATTTCTACCAAAGAAATGGCCTTAAAATTGTGAGGGAGACTAAGGTATCATACCTTATCACCAATGTCTGCCGACTGCCCATCTACAGCCACCCGGGCAATGCCAGGCAGGTCGATGAGAGTAAGGTCTGGAACATCCGGGGAGGCAATCTCCAGACTGATGAGCTCACTGCTGATCCCCGTATCATTCCCGATCAATTTAAGTTGAGCTAAAGAGCGAATATGGTGTCACGTATGCCCAAGCAACACATTTAACTTGCCTACTTTGTGCTTCCACCTTTTACGTGGTTTTTAGTAGTGACATGAAAGAATTATGTAGACTCACCTTCTCGAATCATTTTCTCGACGAGTGCAGGCTCTTTTATCTTTTCTTCAAAGTCGCGGTAGCTTATCTTTCCATACCACGCCTCTCCTTCCTTCTTTCTCATCATCTTCAGTTCCAGTGGACATCTTGTCACAATACCTGTGTTTTAAAACATGTGAGGGTCAGACAATTCCTCTCTCTCTTTTTTGGACAAATTAATGAACGATTTCCGATGTTTTCTATTATGACATTTAGCCTCCCGTGATTTTGGTGATACAAATATGTAAAAGGTTGTTTTTTTTCTAGTTGAAGTCTAATGCTCTGATAGACGCTTTGATTTGTACAAGATCAGGGGAGAATCCATCTTGCCGAAATGCTTTCAGCCAGAGTGATTTGGACTAATCAGCTTCCTGTGAGCATTCTGTTTTCCAGCCATGCTTCACCCTTTAAAATAAACCGTTTTTAACAACAGAGGGGAGGTCATGGACAGAAGGGAGGAGCTGCTTTAACAGCAAGCAGCTCCTAACCTAACCAGGTGGTTTAGATTCCTAAAACTAAAATCATAAATGTAACTGAAAAGAAAGCTTAAAGTTTCTGGCAGAAAACTCCTAGGCTAAACTTTTTCCATTAGTCTGAAGCAGAGGAGTTTCTCTACCAAAGGTGAAACTGAGCAAGGTTAGCTTGAAACAGAGCTGCACTTTGTTCAGCATTAACGAGTTTGCAGGTTCAGACTAGTTTTTTCTGTGCTCTCCATTTCCTTCCGTCCTTTGACTTGTTTGAAACTTCAATTTATGAGAAATAGGCCCCAAACCCAGACCAACTTCCTTCCTCTACAACTCATACACACACACGCACACACACATATGTTTTCATATCTTAGTAATGATGGTTTATTTGATCCAATTGATATTTGTTCTTATGGATCACCAGCAACACTTCAGCTGAAAATCTGTCACATTTGTAATTTTAGTTTAAATGTACCATTATGTACATTAAAAAAAATTCAAAATAACAAAACAAAGTCATGAAATTGTCAACTCAAAGTTCAAACCCTGTTCTAGTTATTTTAATGAAATAAAGTAATATATCGTGTCATTAAATTAATCAAGTCATTAAATATAGATTTTAAGGAACAGGCTAGTTGCCAAAGAATGTGCTTTGCTGCCTGATACATGCCCTGCAGCACCCCCACCTCTCTGCCAGTCTTGATACAGTTCCACTGTATGCTTCACTTTGACACTTCTAATGTACGGAAAGTTTCTGAGCTGGAAATAAGACAACTCACCGCTGCCTCTCGGCAGTGCCACCCCGGACAGCGCCTCCAACACAGAGCTCTTCCCCGAGCTTTGGTCTCCAATCACGGCGATAGCAGGCAGTGCCAGGTCCTTCTCTACACCGAGAGAGCGGAGAGAGTCAATGAGGTCGATGAGGGGACGGACCTTCTCATCATACTGCTGGTTCAGAGTGCTCATGCTGGTCTCAGCTTGTCTTACGACAAAAATAACAATTAAAAATGGACAAAGTGATAACATGCTTCGTGAAAAGCAGACCGTGGGTTGGAAGAGAAAGAAAAAGTGATGTGTTTTGTTTCACTTTCTGTACCCCATGGGTTTTTTTTTTCATTCAAAAATACAGGAAGCAGCAACAGATGGCATGTCCCTTATTAAGCGGTCACACTTCTTCCTTTAATTCCAGGACTTTCACAAAGTGCATTAACCGTTCAGAAACGACAGCACGACATGCACTGTCCCCCAATTTCAGAGGCTCAAAAGTACCTTTGACACCCTGATATGATTTTAAATGAAATCATTGTGTTTAAAACTTTGATGAAAATCTTTGGCAGTCAGTGACTGACTGAAGTCTAAATGCTCTGCTGGATTTTCGGGCTGTGTGTGTGTGTGTGTGTGTGTGTGTGTGTGTGTGTGTGTGTGTGTGTGTGTGTCTCTGCTTCAGTTTTGTTTTTAGTAACTGAAGAGCGAGCTCTGTTGGCCTCAGATCATGTGATTGGTTTGAACATTTAAGAATATCCCATTTCTTTGCCTTGGGATATTTTGGGTTGTTTCTGCAGTACACTTTGGGTCCTTATGGAGTTGTACTGTTAAATGCTTTCCAATCAACTGACATCAGCCAAATCTCTGAGTTTGAGCAGAGATTACAGTATTCGCTGCACATTTCTGAATTCATCCCGCTGCTCCTATCAGCAGTCACATCATGTGAGGGGAACCAGTGCCCTGATTCCACTGCAGGCAGTATGGTATAACATTGCTTCCATCATGTTTGACAGATAATGTGGAATATGCTTTAGATTATGAGCTGTTTGTATCCTTCTCCATACTTGAAATTTGCACTGTCCACTTTCTGCTGTGGCACAACAAATTTCCCACGTGTGGGACTAGTAAAGGTTAATCTAATCTTAAGCGTTAGCAGTTCGTCTTGTAATCGAAAGGTTGCCGGTTCGAACCCCGGCTCTGACAGTCTCGGTCGTTGTGTCCTTGAGCATGACACCGGTTGTATACTGGTGGTGGTCAGAGGACCCGGCATCACCAGCGTGTGAATGTGTGTTAATGGGTGGATGACTGAATGTAGTGTAAAGCGCTTTGGGGTCTATAGTATGGAGGACCATAAGAGCCACACGCATCGAAATAAAGAATTCTGTGCTTAAATAATGAATTGTAGAATAAATTCTGCATTTGTAAATTCATTTTTGAATTCCAATTTAATAAACTGCATTTCAAAAACCTTTTTCCCATTTGCACTTTTATATGTACTAAATGCTGGCTACGTAAATGCTGGCCCTCCTGTCAGAGCCTACGCTCAAGGCTGGACTGGGACAAAATGTGATGTCATTCAGGGGTAAAACCGCAAAGGATTCTGGTTTTTGCACTCATGAAGTTACTAAACTTCATGAGTGCACACACTCATGAAGTTTAGTAACTTCCGGTCACTGCAACAAGCCCAGGTACAGTTTACCGACGGATGGGTGCAGGACCTTGAAATGCACCGTGTAGAAAGTAAAGACCATCGTACATATCATAAGTTTACCAGTCTCACAAATCGTCGTCATAAATACACATTCGTTAACCGTTTATTAATAGGACCTTTGAGCTCAATGGTAATTAATTAGTCAGTGGAAATAATTTCTGGTAGCATCACAGAAATGTAGCAGTGACAATAATACTGTATGCTGTAATCGTACTGGGCAATTAGTGATACAAAACAACTGTTTTATCCTGTGAATAAAAGTATATGTTTTTGTCAATGTACCATAATAACAGAAGCGAAACACAATATTGTGTCAGGACAATTCACTATTTATGCACAATAAACACAATAAACAAAGGAGCATAGCGCGACAATTTCTGTTCAGCGCCAGACTTGTTTGTGTGACTGATTTCAATTGAAAGCCTGCGTGCGCTAGTACCTCTTGCCACGAGTTCCCAGAATCCTTTGCGGTTCTACCCGTGAATGAGTCACATTTTCAATCTCTATATAATATGCATGTTAAATTTTATATTTGGGGTAAAATATCAAGTCTTTTCAAGTAAACCGGTTCAAGTCCAATTCAAGTCCCAAGTCATTGGTGTAAAAGTCCAAGTCAAGTCACAAGTCTTAGAACATTTTTTCAAGTCAAGTCTAAAGTCATAAAATTAATGACTCGAGTCTGACTCGAGTCCAAGTCATGTGACTCGAGTCCACACCTCTGCCGTATAATTATAAATCTGAGCGTGGTGAAAGTTGGGCAGCACGCTAACGTCTTTTGTCCACTCTGTGTGCTCGTAAGGGTCTGACCCTTTCACTCCTTTGATTTTTTCCTCGTATCTTTTCTTTGTCTTTTCGTCGAGTCTGTCTTTGTACGGACCGGCATTGTTCTCCTTTTGTTTTGTACATTCCTTTTTTGTGCGGCAAAGAAAAAACAAGAAGGTATTGGAACCGGAGAATGAACGTTTTGCGGTGCTGCAAATGCTTGCATTTGATGCGGTACTTGGATTGTTTTGCCACGAGTTCCCGGCATGCAATGCGCGAAAATCACGTGATTGCTAAACAAGGGGGAGGGTGCATCCGGCCTCCTCGGCTGTAATTGGTCCAGCCCAGAGTCGATCATGACCAATTGGCCAATCCAACACCTTTCATTATATATACCCTTACTAAAAAAAAAAATAAAAAATCCATCGGCCCATAAAAACAAAAAAGCTATGCCTACGCTCTATCTGCTATTCCCGAACAGAGATACGCAAGTTTCTCCGTGACCGCAGCTGCCAGTCAAAGCTGCTACGATGACGTTTCACCCCAATTTAACATCACTGCGAAATAAGAGCTGCTTCATCCAAAGTCGGATTGTCTCCCAATAAGACCAAGTTTCCTCCAGAAAGTTTCCCAATTATCTATAAAACCCACATCGTTTCTTGGACACCAGTCACACAGCCAGCAATTTAAGGAGAACATGCTTAGCCGCATGACACTCCTGGTCTGATTGGAGAGGGGACTACAGAGTTTGACATTGTTTTGGCAAAGTTACACACTGATTCAATATTGATTTTAGTGACATCTGATTGATGTAACCGGGTGTCATTATTGCTGATGTGAATTATACTTTTACTGAATTCAGGTTTACCCTCAGCCAGCATGTTCTATTTCCCTCAGTGTTGCCTGCTCTGGCCCCTGGAAGACAATTGACTATGGTTGCTGCTGTCTTCATGTGTCTCAGAACAGAATCAGCAATTACCAGAGTTTGATCCCTGGCGGGTGTGTCGCCGAGTGGAGGAAACAGTTAGACACATCTCCCAGCCATCATGTTTTCCCGTCTGCTGAGGATAACCTGCTGGGAGACAGTTAGCAGGGCTTACGCCACCTTCCGCTGCTCCGGCTACAGGGGCCTGACCAGCTACGGGGTTTTCAAGGGTGGGATTTCAAGTGTCCAATTCAGCAATCCAGGCCTCCAGAGCTGCATAAAGGCTACATTTATTACAAGTATCATTACTGCTCATTTAAAAAAACAGAAAGCATAACGCCTTCTCCAGAGTCAGAGCAGTCTTCCACAATAATTGGGTTTGATATATCAGGTTAAAGAAAGACTGCTGAGGAGCAAGCATGGCTTGGGCCCATCTCAGAGCTCACCTTTGCAGCAGAATAACCATGAAAGAAATTTTACACAGTCTAAGAAATAAATTCTCCTTTGTTGATGAAACACTAGGAAACACTGTGAGGAAACCTCAGTTCTTTTCACTGGTAAAAACTTCAGGTGTAGGATAGGGCCTCTCCAGAGGTACAACCTCCCTGAGCTGTGCTGCTGACCATGCCCATCGTTTTATGACCACAGTATACTCATCTTATAAGAGATGTCAATCCAGCAGATTATCTTTGGCATGTGGTGGATCAGTAGATTTGCAACATGGATGCACAGCCGACAAATCTGAAGCAACTGTGTGATGCTATCATGTCAATATGGAACTAAATCTGTGAGGAATGTTTCCAGGTCTTTGTTGAATCTGCGCCACAAAGAATTAAGGCAGTTCTGAAGGTGAAAGAAGGTGCAAAACAGTACTGGCAAGGTGTAACTAATGAAGTGGCCAGTGACTGTATTTAGTGTCTAGATGTTTTTTCAGTATTTTATGACTGTGGCCTTGTGTTATACCCTCTCTGCTGCAGTGATGCTGCAGACAAACACAAACATCATAATCAGATATTTAAGAAGAGCCTCTTGAAGATGAAGGTCTGTGCCTCTTGACCTAAACACATAATCCAGTTAAATCTAATTTATGTTCATCAATGTCCCTCACACTGTAACTTGAAGTAATAAATTGGTTACTGATTAATTACAGAAGTATATTTGTGAGCTTAAAGATGTAAGCCTTGGACCATCGAGATGAAATGTGGTTGGGAAGCATTAATAAAACTTCATCAGTAGCTCGAGCAAGACCTCAAAACCTTCGCTCACCACGGGTGGTTAGCAGACTGTGGTTGTACCATGCAGCCCAACAACATGCAGTAAATTGCAGGTTAAAGCAGTCTGCTTACACGTTGTTAAACGAGGGAAGGGAACTAATGTGTCTTTCACATTACCCTTTTGTCCCATTACATCCCAGGACTCGATTAAATTGCTGCTCACTTTCTACAGTACTTAAAACTGATCAGTAGGACCTGAAACTGCAAACATTCAAACATTCAGGCCAAGTAAGAATCAGCGGGTGAACGTATTAATCTTCTAAAAGTTTTTGACCAGGAGGTTAAACTCATACAAATTAGCTTCACCCAGGCTCATGAAAACATTTTCCTGCTTACAGATAGCAGATCATTTGTGTCAGTAAGGTTCATATTTGAGCTTCTTGTTCACACAGAACAATTTTTCTTCATTTTCTAACGATTACCAAAGTCTGTGAATCCCAAAATTGTTCAGTTGCTCACCATGTGACAAAAACAACACCCCACTGTACACACTCGGGCCACCAGCAGCTTTCTAAATCCTCAATAAAAAGCTGACAGGTTGCAATGATGTTCCAAATAACTTATTAAGAAAACAACTAAAGAGACAGAAACTATTATGAAAACTGGTTTATTTTATATCTCCTAGTTTGAAATGAAGCAATAAAAACATGTATAAAACATCACAAACTGTAATATTATACAAATGCTTACGTCCTGTCCTGCTGATGCAATAGAGACATCTTCCAGTGACAGTCTTCATCCGTGTGTGTGTGAGGAGGCTCCTAAACCCACCGATACAGAAGTGCATGTTCACAACTCCCTCTGTGCAGGCGGGGTCAGGACCCTCCTCACCCTGGGTGAAGAGGGGTGGTGCTGTGGCCAGTCAGGTATGAAGTGCTGAGAGTGGATCTTTGGTCCTCTGTGCAGCTCTGTCCACTCTCAGCTGCCCTGCAAAGCAATAACAAAAGAAAGACGTAATTTTAACACAAAACAGCATTTCCATTGTTGGCAGCTGCAGCATGTTGTTAAAATGCTATTTTAAACTCAACATATACACACAATAACTATAAATAAACTTAGACCTACAGTACTGTAGGACGATGATTTATACCAGCTTTTGGAAGGATTTAGTCTTCAAGACAGTTTGTAGCCAATGTGAGGTGATAACTTACATAGCTGGAACACAGCACCACTCTCCAGTTTGTAATTTGGTCATCCATCCTTCTCATCGGGTTGGGGTAAGGCTGTCTTCTGGGTAGAGCATCTCTCTGTGTTAGCGCCGTCTGGAATGCTGGGAGAGGACAAGTGTAAAGCACCTGAAGACAAAAAGACAAAGACAAAAGGATGAATTCACAGATCACTGATTTGTTCGATTTACTTTTCTTCTGTTATGTGTTTTTACCTTACCTCTGATCCCTTAGCCACAGGCTATACCTTATGTATAAACAAGAGACTACAGTCAGTTCACGACATCATTTTTGAACCTTTTCTACTCATTTGTGTTGACATTAAGTACGGACTTACCTTTGTCCTGCATGGTGAGCTAGCGCTTGAGAAAAAATATGTAAGTCATTTAAACAGTTACCTGTGATATTAACAAAAATAGAAGTAACAACACCTAAAACACTACCTTACAGTCGCACAGGCAATGTCACATATTAAGAAAAAAACAATACATTTCACATGTGTTAGTTAATATTCTTTAAAAGTCAGATATTCTTAGTTAGCTGTGTTACAAACATCACAAGACACAAAGGCTTAACTTAAACATTACAAAGTTATTTAAAAAGTAAAGGATATTTACAAGAAGCTGTCCTCAAAGCAAGAAAGTGTCTTATAAACACTGCAAGACGCAAAGGCCAACTTAAACGTTTAACGTTTAAAAACAGGTTCTAACATTACTTAGTCAGAGTCACTGTCATCAAGTGAAAGGTTAAAAGGCCTTTCCCAGAAGCGTCTGACACCAAAAGAACCTGATGATGTAGAAGGGTTACAGAACGTGCCATCACTTACCTTGCACCTCTTCAGTGCAGATGTCTTCTCTGCTTCTCTTTGCTGAGGAGGTGAGAACTGAGGTTGAAGGAGAAGCTTCGTGAGAAGAGGGGGAGGATGAGAGAAGGATATACTCACCATACTCACCTTTACTGACACGCTGGGTATCAGTGTCCTGTTCTTCATCAGAAGAGATGGTGCTCGGGAGACTGTCATCCAGAATCCTGATGACTTCAGGAAGGCCTTCTTCTGCGGGACGTTCAACCACGTAGTCAAGACGACATGTGAGGAAACAAGTTTAAAATAACATTAGGAATGTAATAAACACCAAGTGCTAAAGGAACAGAGCTACATCTGTTAGTTTCAGCAGATGATGAGAGAAAAGCATTTTAGGCTACATTTATGTCAGACTGAATGACACAAGTTTGACTTTATTTGACCTTGAAGGAGAGGTCAGAGGTCAGATGTAATGTGATATTTTAAATCTTTACACAGTACTTTTGTATATGACCACAGACTCCACACTTTTAAGAATCATAGCTTCTAAATTGTAAAGATTTTTGTTCATTTTTGACCAATAATAAAGTTAACCTTGAAGTGGATGTAAGCTAAATTTACATAACCCCACTCTACACCCCTACAAAGTTTGATCAGGATTAATTCAATTTTTTTCAGCTATGATGTTTACAAAAAAATAACAGGCAAGCAAAAGTTACTAAAAACATAACCTCCTTGGCAGAAGTAAAAATTGCAAACACACAAAGCTGTGCAGGTATGTCTCAAAACCATGGTCAAGCAAAAAACAAACAAATAAAAACTCTTAACACAAAATCTGCATTATTAGGAATGTGCACAAGGACTGTATCTGCCATAAGGACAGATACATGAAATCTTTTTACCACGTGCTATCCCTGTGTAATACAATATATCTGTCTGCTATAAAATAAGATATATTATAAAGTATTACCATAACATAAGATAGGTCTTAATACCATTATTACTACTATACTATGATTACTGTTTTCATATTCTTTTTTATATTCTTTTATTTTTATTATTTTTTATCATCACGTTTTGTAGCAGGGAAAAAGTTATAGTTTATTTCAATAAAGCCTTTGATCCGGAGAAGAACAGGATGTTAGGAGAAGACCGGGATCTGGTGTGTTTACACCTGTGTGTTCTGACGTTATGACATCCTGAAGATGCTGTTAGCAAAGAGACTGATTTTGGGGCATTTTACAAATTTTTGTCCATTAAGCTATTTTTAACCATTTCATTAAAAAAGTGTCAAATTTGAAGCCTTCAAATCAACTAACAACTTTTTTTCAAATTCATACACCAGTCGTTAATAATTTATACACCTCTCCCAGAAAATTTAAAGCATACAAACAATTTATGGGGAAAAATCTTGGAATACACATATTTTGATAACATTAAAACGTGACATTCACACTCGAACTTATAAATTATTACAGTCATTTAGTGACTCTTAAAATAACTGAAGAAATGTTAAAAGTACCTGCAGCGAAGTCCAGGGGACTGTCTAGGAGTCGGGGTCCACGACAAGCCATTTTCAGGCTTTGCTGTTGAGATGAAAAACGAGTACAAACAATCCAAAGATGAAGTACTTGTTGTGGCTTGCAAGTAAACTCCGCTTTCAGAAAAATATTTTCCAAAACTTAGCTTTCCACCGGCTGAGGTTGGAGCAAGTCAAAACAAGTCCAATAGCAAGTGTAAAGGGACGAATGGAACATTGTGCAGCATTTATATACCCTCTGCAGGCCATGGTTACAACTATATAAATGGAGCTCACCGCAATGTCATTTACAGTTAATTCATGATCATTTATACTTACTGCCTTTGTCAGCCTTTATGTAACATGTATACTAAACACATAGGTATAGGTATACCAGGAAATAAACACAGATATTAGAAAGCAGCAAATCACTCAAGCAAACATCTGGTGACTAACATTAGCATATAGCTCATGCTAATATTACGTCTTCATATTTTTCTTTTCAAAGCTAACAATAACTGAGGCTCCTTGCCTCCACCAGAGAGGTGACATTCCATGTCCCTATTGCCAGTCTTGGCAGCCGGGGGTCAGTCCGCCAGGGCCTCCGCTCCTGGCCGCCACCCGGCACACAATGCACCCAGGACCCATGGACTAAGGCCCGGCCACCAGACGCTCGCCCTCGGGCACCCTCCCCGGGCCTGGCTCCAGGGCGGGGCCCCGGTAACCCTATCCCGGGCAGGGTAAACTGTTCCCTCGATGTTCTTTTCATAAGGGTCTTCTGAATCGCTCTTTGTCTGGTCCCTCACCCAGGACCAATTTGCCATGGGAGACCCTACCAGGGGGCAAAAGCCCCCAGACAACATAGCCCCTGGGATCCCTGGGACACACAAACCCCTCCACCACGATAAGGTAGCGATTCAAGGAGGAGAATCAATGTTACTTCCGTAACATTGATTCATTAATGTTGAATTCTCTCGCAGCTGTTCTATTCCCATGTTGTTGCAGTATATTAATAACTAACCTTGTATTGTGGATGAATAATCTCAGTTGTTCTCCTGACTGAAGTTTGGCCCGTGTATAGCATCCTGCTATGCGATTGCATTTGTCCCTAACCACCAGAATCCCTCACGTTAACTTTTATCGAGTGGAAAAACTTCACTGTGCTAATGTTATGCTAACATAGCTGTGTCGCTAGCAATCACGTAGCACAACATTATATACCAGGTAGTCCAACTTCAGTAACCCTGCAAACGCCACTGCTGTTTAGTTTCCTGTCTTTCCTGTTTTGGACCCAGATTACTCCGCGAAGCTTCTCACTATGGCAGCCGTAATGCTCTGACAATCAACCAAAACATTTTTAGCAGATTTCTGCTCGCCAAAATCAGTTCGAGGTCAGTAAGCACAACCAGAATTCATACATAAGGCACACTCGATTTTTGAGAAAATGAAAGGATTTTAAGTGTGCCTTATAGTGTGGAAACTACGTTATACAGAAAAAAGAATACATCGCGATATATATCGTTACGCACATGCTTCAAATTATATCAAGATATGGATTTTAGGCCATATCGCCCAGCCCTAATTGTATTAATAATTCAATTTCATTATCTGTGTCTTTGCCACACAGGTGTAGATACTGTAGGTTCAGTGAATGCTTAAATTGCATTGATTAGAATATACTGGACATTCAAAGCTAAGATTCAGTGCACTGTGTTAGAGGCTGGGATTTGATGAATTCATCATATATACAACCTTTGATCATTGTTTATGTCCAGTTGAGAATGAATCTGTGCACTCAAATATTAAATGAACTGAAATCAGTAGTGTGGTCTCCAGTCTTGATATAAGGAATGAGAGAACTGACAGCTGTTATTTTAATCAGCCTGTCTCAGTTGTTTTAACTCTAAGTACCATAGAGTAATGTGGTAACATCTGGACTGACGAGTTTACTGTCAGCATTTTAATCTCTAGTTTAAAGGCTGTAGGCTGCAGCCATTGCTCTAACACTGTATAAATGTAACAGGGCTCAGTGCTGGTTCTAGTAGTCTGAGCTGCTTCCAGCTTTATTTGTGAAGAGCACAGCAGTTTACAAAACACGTAGCTAGCTCGTACAGCTGCGACCTTAAAATAACGGGGCTACATAAGGTGATGCTAGCGTTAGCCATGTTAGCACGTTACCTTCAACAGGTGGTCAGACTGCGAAAACAGGCACTCAGTTGTGTGATTCTTACTCTGAATCTGAATAAGTACGCGGGACCACTGTGTGCGGTAAGACCATCTCTTTTACTTCCTGTATTACCCTCTACCGGCATGCATTGCCAGTGCGTAACACGTAATTACACAATCAAACAATGAACACATACTGCCCATACAACAAATGTACCAGAGACAACTATGAATACACCACATCAGTCAGAGGTTGGGCTCTCCGTTGCGCTGCAGGGTCCCTTCATTCTTCACATATCCGTGTCGAGCCGAGTGGTCATCCTGAGGCTGAACGGCCTTTGTACAAGCACACATACTTCTTAGCAGGGCGAAGCTATGAGCTAGAAAAATCCAGGCAGACAGCCTGTATCTGTCCAACCAATCAGAGAGCTCCTTACATCCCATGGTGTGGCTAATTTGAATAGCCGCAAGGAAGTTGTTAATTGAAAAGGTAATCCAGCAGCTAATCCCGGAGCGAACAGGAAAAAGAAATGGATTTTGAAATGCAGTTTATTAAAGTGCAAATGGAAAAAGGGTTTTGAAATGCAGATTATTAAATTGGAATTAAAAAATATATTTTGAAATGCAATTGGAAAAATGATTTTGAAATGCAGTTTATTAAATTGGAATTCAAAAATGAATTTACAAATGCAGAATTTATTCTACAATTCATTATTTAAGCACAGAATTCTTTATTTCGATGCGTGGCTCTTGTGGTCCTCCATACCATAAGGATTAAGTACAGCGCTATAAAAATACAGGCAATTTAATCGAATCAATTATTCCCGTTATTCTGGTACA